GCCAGGAGGGAACACCAGAATCAGCCTATTCCTGCACGGCAATCTGAAGCCGCTTTGTAAGCAGTAAATGTGCCCATATGCTGGCAGGGGACCCTCTGGTATCTGAAACCCTGTGCATGCATTTGTCAGTGACTTAAGAGAAAATATTCCATTTCAAAGTTGGATTGAAAACATGCCGCCCCGTGGTATTGCTTATGTTAGTGTACTTCCAGTGTAATAAGGACTATTCATACTTGAAACATTTGCATGTTGACTGACTGCAAATAATGGTTTTCTTTCATGCTTGACATGCCTGCTATGCATAGCAGGTGATCCTAAAAGCAGCCTGTAGATTTAAAGCGAAGTAAAAACCGTAGGAAAAAATCTTATTTGAAATTACAGCCACTTTTCGTGCTAGAGAGAACTTTTAACTCTTGTAACACTCTTTTTCCAAAAGAATTAGATGGGTCTTCCTGAATTCTTCATGTCTGTCTTCCATTGTGTTTATGTTCTTCTAAAATACTTTCTGTGATCCAATTACGCAGAGGGAAGTTGGTACAGAAAGCTTAAGTCAGAAAGAACAGCCTGTTTTATTTATTGAGCACTGGAGTGTTTTCTCACGAAATCTCTGTGCCTTTGGTCACAAAGGTAGCCTTCATTCTTCATATAGTCTGGTTATATGTAAATATCCCAATTAAAACAACAGTTCGGTGTCGCTCTTCCATTCATGCCGCTTTGCTGTGGATGGTCTCTATGCAATAATGTCAGAAAAGCTGTGAACAGAAGATTTTGTAATCACAGTCTTATTCATGTAGTTTTATGTAAACCTGCTAATCACAAAATCTTATTTATTAAGGTATAAAACGCGCCTTTTGTGTCTTAAGAAAGACTTTGGCGGGGTAGGGGAAAGCTTTGTTGTTGTTGTTAATCTTTAAAAAAGAGCAACTTTTTTCTGTCTCGTTTTTGCTGATGCTGTGCACCGGAGGAATAAAAAATCAATAGGAATCAATAGCAGAAAAGTCTGTAATGTCATTCTTTAGCCATCCAGATTTTCTGTTTTTCTTCAGGTGTTTGAGTAAAGTACGTGTTAGCAGCAAGAAACAGAACTGTCGAACAAAGATTAAAATAGCAGTTTCATCTGCTTGTAATGGCTCATGTTATATCTGTAATATATTGTGTTCTGTCTGTCCGGTTGTTGATAGAGCCTTCCTAGAAATATTACCTGATTTGAAAACAATCAGAGAGGAAAAAATGAAAGAGTAAGAAGTCACTTAGGCTTTCTTATTTCTTTATCGATAATGAAGAGCTGTGATTTGAAGTATGGAAGGGGAGGGGGGGAAAGCAAAGGGACACTTAAACGCTCTTGATAGGCACAGTCAGTGTAAGAAAGACCGATTCACCTATAGCCCAGGTATATCCGGTGAGATTTGTCTCGCAGCATTCCTGTGGCCCGTTTATACTGCCTACGCTGTACAAAAGCGCCAGAAAGCTGGCCGATCAGTTGTTAGAGAATTCTCCCAGTTCGGAGCACTGTTGGGATAGTACAGGGACAGCACCGCAGTCTGTGCTCTTCCTCACCCACGCTGGCATCTAGTGGGGGGAATGACCCTGAAGAAGAATGGGACGCTGCTGAAAAATCAAGGATCAGATATAATTCCTGGGTAGTGCATTGGCACCTCATGGGCATTAACGGGGTACTCCTAAGTATCAGGTAGTATCGCTGATAGCAGAGGGAGTGTTAGTTTGCTCCAGTATACCAGAGGCTTAACGCTGTCCCAGTTTTCAGCCCTGTATTGAGAATAGCTCAACTACATCTACGATTCAGGTCTAACACACCTGCTGAATGTGCATCGGTGAAATCAACCTGGCATATCGTCAGTGAATCATTAGTAAATCTGTGTAAATTAGTGAATCAATAGTAAAATTGCTATGATCAGGCCTGACTATACAAAACCAAACTTGACAAGTTAGACTAGTCATAAACATTTAGGATTAGGGAAATTAGGATTAGGGAAATTTAGGATTAATTTCCCTGTGCCCTTCCATCTAGCTGCTGGAAAGACTACAACTCCAGCCTCACTTCTTCATCAATCAGGTTGAAAAAATCAGCTGTCAGTACATAACGATGGAAAAAATGTTAGCAGTTTAAATTGGACAGTGCTTGGAGTAGGGGTTCGTAAGTATCCATGCAACAGTACCAAAAAAAATAGAATTATGCCTTAGTTATTTTCTTCCTTTACCAGAAAGGACCAGTATCTCTCTTTGGTGTGTCCTATACACTGTCCTCTTTTAACTGCGGTCTACTCCTGAATATAAATGTGGATCAAGGTAGACTGTTATTTTTAAAGCACAATAGCTTTTGAAGCAGGTTAAGCCAAAAAAGTAACAAGGAACTCTTGTTCTGAAATGAATTTCCACACATGGATTTAGTTCCTTGCAGGAACAGCTAATCAGAACAACCTTAAGGCAAGAGGGAGTGCTTTTTAATTATCCACTTTTAAATGCTCATTAACCAGTTGTCCAGTAAGGGTGAGCAGTAGTATTGATGCCAGTGGTGCCCTGTGGCAAATTTTTACCATCTGCTTGTTAATAACAGCAACCTAGCATAGAAGGCTTATGGGTTCCTTAGTGAGAAACATCAGCCCAACTACTTGGACTAAGTGTAAAATCTCTGCCAGAAGACAAATTATTTCAAGTCTTTTCCTAATATTTATGCACAAGAAATGAGAGGCTTTCTTCTCAAGAGGGATTGTGTGGGAAAATCTGTGTCTTCACTAAAATAAAATCCTGCTGTGTGAGATATATTATGTCTTGAGATCTTTAATTGTTCCCACAGCAGCAAAAATTCTACATTCATTTCAGAAAAATACTTAGGTGACTCCCAACTACCCTCTCCCTCAGTGGACCAAAATCTTCCATCATCCTTTCCTTCATGATATGTATCCCTACAAATCAGCAAGCAGTGTATGACTGCCGCCTCCTTTTTAGAGAGCCTGTATTTCTCACTTATTGAGCAAACAACTGGAAACAATTAACCAACTCTTGAACTCAGTGAAATTTAACATAACTAACACAGGACCATCTGGCATAGACTATCACTTCTCTACAGAAACACTTCAGTGTGCTGTTCAGTGTGTTAAAAGTGCTTGCAAATATAAGCAGAATTAGGGAGGGCGGGACAGTGTATCTCACCTACCTCATAAAATTCTAGCTAACTCCTGCAATATTCCTCTTAGAAATTCATAACTCATTAGGATCTTTGGGAAACGCTGTTTATGCAGACTATTTTATTTTCACAAAGTAAATTGTTTGGGAAGTGGTGTACTTTTAAAATATTTTTGCCACCTGTTCTTCTGGAAGCCATAAAAAGAGTGAAAGTTGGTGCAACAACCAAAGAGCTGTTTGGTTTTTTTTTTTTGTAAAAGAATTGTCTGCCGTGCATGGATTGTATACTTTGTGTGAAGTGGTTGTTGCTAGCTCAGATACGAAAAAAACTTAAATTATCTACCATATACTGTCCTAAACTGAATGAAATGGTATTAGAACAAACTTTTTTTTTTCTTTAGGTAGGGACTGTTTCTGTCTCCTCCTTTGGATAGGTTTGTAGTCTCAAAATCCACACAACAGTGATTTATCTGTAAAATCAGGTCTTGTACAGGCGCATAAGAAGGGCCACAAAATTTAATGTAGGCATCTTTAACAACACCAGTTGAAGCCTTAATCACATAGATACAAGTCCAAAACATTTCTGTCTGTTAATTCACTTCAAATCATACTTATTAACAAACACTTCCCTAAAACAGTTTCAAGCACAGGAATTTCATACTAGAATTCTGCAACTCCTACATAGTGCTCCAGCGCTATAAAACCTCACTGCTGAAGCTGCGCAAATATCCCACTGAGCAGAGATTAAATCCAACGCATTAAATATGTTCCAACAATTATTCTCCATCCCTTTCCTTATTCACCATGCGTGTCCTGATAGGTTTACTGACATAGCTACACAGCAAGTTGTCTGCAGGGTTGCCACGGGTCTTATTTTTCATGGATGTGAATAATTTAAGTCCTGAAAACTGAGTAGGGTTTTTTTTTCCTCTCTCAACTGTACATGATTTTGCATTTGTAGACTGCATTTACTGCTTTAAGGGGCCAAATCACCCAGCTTGTTTGGGTCTGTCTTGTGTCCTCGCCTCTCCTCCCTAACCTGACTGCTCTCCTGACTAACCTGAAGAGAAGTTACCTTAGTTTCGCACGATTCTTTAAATTATTATAATGGAGCGTGGCATAAAACACGAGAAGTAACCATTTGGCTTGATGAAAATTACTATTTACCTCATGTTTCCTTCTCCAGATCTGTTTTTGACTACAAGCGATGCTTTGAGGCTCTGAGTTTCATTAGTAGTCTCTTTTACGGGACTGTTGCTGAGACCTTGGTGTCAGACCACTGAGTCTGTTCTCCGTTACGTGTTCCATACTGACCCGCTGAAAGACTTCCAAGGGACTAGTGAGACTCAGCTGTTTGTTTTGAGGAGATAAAAGGGGAGGTTGGGCAATTGGAAATGTCCGTTATTATTTTTTTGCCAGCCAAAGGAGGCAGGCGAGCCGGCCCTTCTGCCAGGTGCTGCACTAAAACTACCCTTTACCTCCTCCTGCGGCGGGCGGCGCTGCGTGTGGTACAGCGGGAGGGGCGCTCGGTGGGCGCGGGGCTCGCAGGCGGCGACCGTTAACGCTCGGCGCGCGCGGCGGCCCTCAGCGGGAC